ATTAAAAAAAAATCTACTTCGAATAGTCGTTAATGGCAATCTAAATCTAATTCAACAAACATAAACAAGTCATTGTTTCAAGCATTTCATAAAGCAAGTGGCACAATCAAACATGGAGATACTAGGGATATAAGACAAGAGGATAGTTGGACCACAAAATAAAGTGCAAATAAAATTTATGCTGAAAATAATTGTAGTGGTCCTTTCATTGACTAGAAATAAGTGTTTTAGCAAAATGTATCGTCTTACATGCCCTTTCCTTTCTTTTCCTTAAGCATATGGGGAAGGGCTTTTAAAGCGTAAACCTAGGGTTTTGTCTTTCAATGCTTTTCTACCCTAATGAATGAGCATCTTCCACCTACATACTTTCTTTTTTTCCTCTTATAACCTTTTGGGGGGAAAAAAATGATTTTAACTCATGAAGTGAAGAGAAGTTTTGAAAAAAAATTTAAAAAAAAAAAAAACATCATTGAAAGCTTGTGAGATTGGTCCATTTATGATTGCCTAAATCCACTATGATATTTTTCTTCTTTAGCATGAACAAGCAACAAATGGATTAATCAATATAATGCGACGACTTGTTTTGCAATAAATAAGTCGTCTTCATTTGCGATCTCATCCTACTTTTTTATTGAAGTTTTTCAAGAATTGATGCAAAAGGATGATATGGTCTTGAGGTTTGTAAATTTGTATGTTTTATGGTATGAAGATGAAGATGAAGATGAAAATGAAGACTACTACTTGAATTGATGTGTTTCAATAGAAGTCTAACACACAAAAAAGTATTAATTGATTAATTGATACTAATATAATTGGATAATTATTGATCATAATAAAATTTTAGTAGAAAAAAATTTACTCATATTATCATTTTGAGTATCAAATGACTTTCGTTGGGTACCTTTTGGGACCAAAGAATGTTAAAGAACCATGCCTATAGGCACAACTTCTAATTAAACGAATTTGGAAAGCATTTTGTACGTTTCCACAAATGTTAAAGCTTGCAGCACAGCCATTTTCATGGCAGATGGGGAGTTGTGGGGTTGAAAGTTGGACATGGCCAAGAAACATAGGCGTATCCAAAGGGGCAGGCATGGGCTATGATCCCCCAACAATGTTTTTACAGCATTGTAATATAATAATTCAATCTATCTAACACCAGTTTCGGTCATTTTTTTTTTTGTTTTTACTAACTTTACTGTTAGGTCTCCTTTTTGTTTTATGTCTTGCTTTGCTCCTGACATGAAACCAGCCTTTGAAATAAGAGTGATAAGTGTTTTGTTTTTTAATTTTCCAAAGTGCAAACTCTATCCAAACTCATTACCAACCCCTTCAAATGTATGCCCTAATTTGTTTAACTTTTATCATATCCATGTGTTAGAACACAATACGAAAATGAAACTGTCTAACAACATAATTAAAACGTGTGTATATTTAAAACACACATAATAATAATAATAATAATAATAATATAGAGAAGAGTTAAATCCAGTAACTATTATCTTTAGACTTCTTAGGCCATTCCCATTAATGTATGGTATGCTAGAAATGAAGCTTACATTGTCGGCAATTTCGACATGATTAAAAGGCTAGCTAATACCAAAGGTTGTAGGGGTGAATTTTGTCTTGCACCTAATTACCCAGATTCTCCTACAACTAAGGGCCTAATTTACTTGAAGATTGATTTAACTTCAAGTTGCCGACTATGTTTTATACCAATTGATATGTTATTAAAATTGACATTTAAAAATTATGAGTTTAAAAGAATTTATATGTATAATATTTTTTTAATAAAATAAATAATAAGATAATAAATTTATAAATAGATTAAAATTTTTTTAAAAAATAACTCCAAATTTTCAATACCGAATTGATCCTAACTTGATCTTTTGCATTATTACACCAAACTATACACTAATTTCACCTGTTATAAATTCCATAATTTTACACCAACGTTTGATTGAATGATTAATTGATTAAATATTGGGATTCAAATTTGTTTTCCCCAACTCAAACAATCAAAATCTTTATAATTGTTTACATGAAAAGTTCTTGTCTATAGTATAGAAGGTGGCTTGGGTTTTTTCTCTATCAATGGCATATGCAAATACTATAGTAAAAGAACTAGAATTTTTTTAAAAACATATCTTATCTTAATTACCTAATACTCCATTCATTATCACTACTACTCAATATTCAACCGCAGCTCACAATCAACCAACATCATATACTCAATAGTCATCCCCCCCTACAATAAGTGAACACCAAAAATAAAATTTTAAATCCGTCATTATTTTCTATCCTGTTTCACAAACAGCTAAAAGTTTTATTTGAGTAGTTGCTACTGAAACATCAATCTACAATTTGTATCCAAAGGAAGGGTTAATTCTTGGATTCTTAATATTCCATTCTTTTCTCAAAGAAAACCATTATTGTCAATTAGAAAAAAAAAATTCCATTATCTTAAGAGATCATCATTGATGATGAGTGAAAATAGTTACCAAAAAAATATAAAGCAATCAAGAGAAATAATTGGGTTTCTATTATTATCTATGCAAGTACATATTCCTTTTTTTTTTTATTCAAGCCCTAGCAAATAGTGACAAGAAAGGGTTCAATAACTTTCTTTTTTATTTTTTGTAGCTTTGATTGTAAAAGCCATACAAAAATTACATGAAAAATTGATGAGCTTTGATTGAATGATTTTCGACTTTTCACCCTCGATTTGTGATATGAAAAGTGGAAGACAAAACTTGCAATTGCAAATTCAAACAACTCTGTTTAGCCATTGGCCGATACCTGTTTTGATAGTTAAAATATTTTGAAGAAACAGTCCAAAAGATACAGTCAATTCGAATTACCTCTACTGTTGTACAGCTTGTCCCATCATAATCAATTAATCTTCATGCGTAAATACCACGCAAAGTTGTATTCTTTCGATTTCGATGAATATATATATATATTTATCATTAAATTAAATAGTTCTATTATAGTATTATTTTTTTTGAAATTATCATAAATTTTATTAATGAATTATATGATTGTTGACAAATTAAATGAGTATAAGATAATTTAAACCTATTAATTAGAGTTAAGTATACAACAATTAATCAATTAGTTTTTGTTGCCAAATATTATTTTATTGTTAAATAAGGTGATTTCTTGAATTTGAAATTGGATCTTATTAAGGATAAATCGAAGAATGAAAACTCCATACACAAAATAACTTAAAAATACATTTTTATTCAATATTTTTATTTTTTATCAAAAACAAAAGGTTTTAAATTAACATCTTTCTTCAATTTAAGTAATAAAAAACTTCAAAAAAAACTAAAGCTGTAGTGATGGCCAAAGGCAATGTGAGAATCATAAGTCACCCACCAAATTTCAAACTTCAAAATTTTTGCAGTGTCACATCACATTCAATCAATAGTTTCTATAGTTGCAGTTACGTGGGGACAGGAACCCAATTACCCCTAAAAAAGAAAGTAAAATGTCTGAGTAAAAATAAATAATAAAGTAAAAGTTCTTTTTTTTTTTACATTAATAGTAAAGTTTTTTATTTTAGAAATAAAATCAAGAAATTATCACATGTTTTTATTTAATTATTTTTTTTATTTTTTTACTACATTTCAATGTGTATGTCTTTTAAAATTTTCATTATCAATAAATGTTAAATAAGCAATTTATTTATTATTACTAGGTGTGGTAAATTACAACCAGCCTTACCAACATAACATAATGAAAGCTTAAACCAAGGAGGAAAATGGCAAAAAACCTGTTTCTGATGTAATGTCATTAAAATATATATTATATTATTGATGTAATTTCAGTTTATTACACCTAACAATTTCTTTCATGAACAGAAATGGGCATTATGATAGGTAGTTTAACCTTTTAATTAGTAATATTAATCACATCTTCCTTTGAAGATTATAATTAAAGCTAACACACAACTTCAAAACACACTAAGCATTATAATAATTTAAAATTAACACAGAAACCCTATTCCATCTCACTCTTATGTTTTCTTTTATTTCCCAACTTGAATAATAATGACAGAACATCTTATAGACCTAAATTTCTAACCCTCAAAAAAAAAAAAATCCCAATTAAACCAGCTAGTTGTCGATACAATAATAACACACTAAATCTTATATTCCAACAGTAGATCTTTATCTCGTATTCTGGAATCAATTGTATGAAAAACTTAATAGAAAAATCATGTTAGGTTGTAAACCAACTAGTCGTCAATGGAAGAATAAAGAAAAAAAGTGTTAACATCAAATTAAAATAAAAGTTAGTCAAGGAAACTGGCCAAAGCTCAAATTTCTGGCAAAACTAGTGAATCTCACTGGTCTTAAGGGTGGAATTAAAGGGAAACCTACCCATGTTTTTTAGCAGAGTGCTAAGACTCAAGCCAGGATCAGTGCCTCCACAAAACAAGATTGACTGACTTCATCAAATGACCAAACCAAAACAAACCCAAAAATGTTGTTCTAGACAAGGCACCCATAACATTTACGTTCTACTACTTTAGTCATCATCTCCCATTTTAATATCTTTTTAATAATAAGTATCTATTTATCTATTTAAGAACTTAATTGAAAGACTGAATCCAAAGAACACTCTCTAATCAGACTCCAATGTGAACCGTATTGGATTCTTCAAATACTTTTCCTTTTCCTTAAAAGGAAAGTGAAATAAAAAATAGCATAAAACAAATACTAGACTATGCTTAGATGACATAATTCCCAGAGATTAGCTAATATTTTATACCCTAAATATAGCCCATCAGAGCTTAGAATCCTGTATAAACCCATACAAAAAAGCTAAAGCAAGCAGCTATAAGAATTAAGAAGCATTCTTTTTGTTCTTTAAGAAGAATAAATTAAAGATCTAAATAGTTTTTTAATAAAAAATAAGTCTTATCAGTTTATCTGAACCACATCCACAGCGATTTAATTATTCTGCAAAAACATCTTAAAAAATAAAGTAAAAAGCTTTTTTTTTTTTCTTTTGCGGATGATTGAGAAGATAATGAAGATGATATGTTCCCCTTATGCTAATAAACTATAAAAAAATCTTCTCATATCAGCTTATATTGTATAAAGCTAATGGGATATGTTAAAATAATCAGATACAAGTTTTACAACACTTTCTGCCTCTTCCTCTCAGACAGAAGATCATTGTAAGGAAACCTATTTCTCTCTCTTTCCCTCTGTTTCTCTCACCTTTAACTCTGTCTAAGGAAACTTTACAGATTCAAAGGTTTTAAGATTTTTGTTTCACTGCCTGGAAAACAGAAACCATGGAAGTTTATAATCCCAAAAAACCAGAATTTGAGAGAAATGGTGAAGAAAAAAAATTACTAGAAAAGAAAATAAATTCCCTTTTTGGATCAAAGCAGTTCTTCCCATGTTATATCCTCAACAAAGTGATGATCATTAATTAAACTATCTAGGAACAAAATGATCAGAAAACAAAAGAAAAGAAAAACAGCTAATAAACAGGTCCTTACTCTATCTAACAGCTTATTATGTTCCCATCAGAAAGAAAAGATCATGAAGCTGATCTCAATTCATCATCAACATCAAGAGGAAGAAGAAGAGCCATTAGTTCCAACATGAGCAACACTATCAGTTTCAAAGTGATGGTTCAGATTCTGACCATTGTTGTTGTTATTCCCATGACTCTCATTGTTGTCTTCATGGTTGTCTTCATGGTTGAGTCCGGAACTATCAATATTATTGTTGCTATTCCCACTCCCATTATTCCTACTTCCAATCCCTCCACTTCCTCCTCCTCGTTCTCCTCCATTGGCTTGATCTTTCTTCCCAAAAGTATTCTTATTGTTATGCATCCAAACTTTTAAAACCCCTCTATCAACACCAACTTCATTACAAAACTCTCGAATAGCTTCTTCATCTTTTTTCTGCATCTTCCACTCAACTCTCTCCGCAAAATCCAGCATCTTATCTTTCTGCAACTGAGTGAACTTTGTTCTGAATCTTTTCCTCGAGCTCGAACCAAGATTTCTAGTGTTTGGAGTAACGGCACCAGCTGGTAAATGAGAGTTATTATGAGTATTGTCTAATGCACCTGTGAGACCTCCTGAAAGTGCTAAAAGCATGTGAGGAGCTGAAGGATAGTAGGATGATGAGATCGGTGGTGGTGAAGCAGAGTTAGGACTACGATGTGGCTGACTGGCCGGAGGTGGTGGATGGTGGCGATGGTGAGGCTGGTATTCTAGTGTAGCGGTGGCTGTTGTGGGAGGTGGGTCTTCAGGTTCCTGGCGGTGGAAATTGCGGTGGCATCCACAAGCAGCACATTTGAGGGAAGTTGGGTCTGTTGGGGTAGCTGTTGGAGATGGCATGAATTCACCACAGCCATCTAGAGCATGTCCACCCAAAGTGGCTGCATGGTTCTTGAGACACTCTTTGTAGTTTATGACGATGGGTGGCGCGTGGGGGTGGTAGTGGTGGTGAGGGTGGTGAGGCTGGTGACGCTTGAGAACACCGTTAGTGAAAGATAAGGACTTAGTGGGTTGGATCCGGGTTGGTGTTTCACTCTCAGGCTCTGGTGATTTCGGTGTAGTACTTAGTGGGGTGGTGCTTGTGGGAGCTATGTCCTGCATGACTCCAACATTAAAGTTAACCGCAAAAAAAAAAAAAAAAAACCCTAATAATTAAAGAAAAAAATAAAAGAAAGAGCTAAAAATGAATTTTAAAAAGGATTTCCAACATGGGTTTTATGAGAATTTTGATACCATGGAAGAAATTAAGAAGAAAAAAAGAAAAAGATTTGTTCTTTTTTCTTTGTTTGTTTGGTGTGATTTTTTTTTTTTTTTTTTTGTTTCTGAAGGAAAGGAAAGGAAAGAAAATGAAATGGTTGAGGAAGAAGAGGAAGAGAAGGAGGATGAGCAGTGATGACTGTTGATAATAAAAAATCTATGCTTTTGTGGTTGTCCTTCTTAACCAGTTGCTTTTTAACCCTAGTTCTAATCCATGGTTAAGTTGTTGACCCCACTTGGGGTTAGATATGTTTGTGTAATAAATATATCCACAATGAACAGAGTGAGTCTTTGACTCCCTTAGCTGCAAAAATTCTACCCATTTGTAATTTTTTTCACACCCATCTCTTTCTTATCCTATTACCTTTTTAATGAAATTTTCAGCTACAACATCCTTGAATCCAAGTTTTAAAACCCTTACACCAACTTGCAAAAATTTGATCTGATTTTTATATGATGATAAAAGAGTTTATTGAAAATTAAATTAAAACTATATTAAATATGTCAAAAAAATCAAAATTTTGTGATAAATTTGACATGTTTTTCATTTTCATCTCTAATAAACTCTTAATAAAATAAAAATTATACAACTAAAAGTTCATTTGAATTTAATTTTTATAAAATTAAAAATTATTATAATTACGATTAAAAAAATTTTAAATTAATAAAATTTTATATTATATTTAATAAAATGCATCTTATTGATTTTAATATTTAAATTTTACAAAAATTTTTAGAATTTAACCATAACTCATTGAAAGTGTAATTAGATCCAAATCTACCATAAGTTCAGATTTTCCAAATTACTCAAAATCTACATCAATAAAAGGAAAGCTTAGGGATAATCGAGTTTGGTTGAATGAATCCAATGAACCAAAGAAACCTAGTTGCCAGATTTGGGCACGAGTATGACTGGGTCGTGACTGAGTTGACCCGGAGGAGAATTAATTTGCTAACAATAAACCATGGCAGGAGAGAGAAGAGGGCACCTGCAATTCAGATTTCAGAGACATTGACTGTAACCCATCTTGAACATGTCAAGTGGCAGTGTGGCCTGGAACGCCTTTAACACTAACCTACCCTATCAAATTTGATTCTTTTGGCAACCCCTTACTTTTCTATTTGAAGTATAATAATTTTTTTGAATGACGTAATTACCCTTCATTTCAAAGATGATTGGTTGATTGAGTGGTGGTAAAATTGTCTTTATGGAGGATAGTGGAGTCGATCTATCAAAATCCTAGGCGATTTATAGGTCACTACACTGCCCTTAAATTAAAGGTATCTTTGTCGGCTTGGCAGAATTTTTCGGACGTTTGAACGGTGTTTGTCTGAAAACTGCCCCAATTCTTCTGTTAAAAAACAGTAAACGACATCGTTTATTGCACCCCTGACACCCCCCACGTTTAGAAACCGTACCTTAATTTAAGGGTCATACTTTTTATTTTCGGACGAAAATACCCTAAGAAAATAAAAAATTAACGACACCAATCTCATCTCCCCATAAATACCAGCATTAATCATAATCAACACGTAAAAGGACTCCTTGAGTGGGTGCCACGTGGTGTCAAATGGACACATCAGACATTACCTTACTTCTTACACAGTGCCACGTGGTACTGTAAAATTAAAAGTACTCCTTTTAGCTGATGTAAAACTTGAAGTCAAAATTTTGATTATTGGTACTGTCAGCCTTAAATTAAACAAACAGAGAAAGAGAAGGGAAAGAAATTATTGCAGAGATAGATTATTTATTCGTATTGACATACATGCCCAATCACCTCTTATTTTTTAAGATAATTTAAAAATAAAAGTTTATAACATTTTTTAATTTTTTTATTTCGGTAATTTGATGAAGTTTTTAATTTCAATCCTAAGTTTTAAAAGGGTCTATTTATATTTTATATTCTTTCTGTCTATTTTTTTCAAATGTTTTGAGATTTTTTTAATATTTAAAATTATTACATTTTTTATTTTAAAATTATTTTTTATGATTTTTTTATATTAAAAATCATGAAACTTTAACTTTATAAAAAAATTTTAATTTTAATATTAAATATATTAAAATAAATTTTTTTAAAATTTCATGAAAATTAATATATGACAAATACTTTGAAATGGAAGAAATAATAGTTTAGGTATATTTTTATCTTCAAGCTACGTTTAAAAAACATGATTAAATAAGTTGATGTGATTTTAATCTAATACTTAAGTGATTCATGAGAAGTTAAAATGAAGAATGTGTCGGACCTCTGAAAAAAAAAATTAAAGAACGTTTGTTAGTCTGAATGGTAAGGAGTTCGATTCTCCTTAGATAATATCTCAATTTTGAATCTTGTAAAGAAAAAAATTAAATTCAAAAAAATTTGTTCTTTTATTGGATTCGATCCGATTTGATTTTAAGTTAATCAAAACTTAAAGTGACTATCAAATATCTAGAGATGATAGATAAATATAGTACTTCGAGACATACTCAAATGTTAAAATCAATGAAGTGATTGAGAAAAAGTGAGAGAGGGCATAAAGTAACAAGAAAACATGGAAAGGGCGTTGTGTAGAGAATGCGTTACTTATCTCATGTTATTCTTTCTTTTATACTTAGATGATGACATAACCAGTTGGAAGGCAATTTGTAATCTTTGATAATGTGGCAACCAAGATGTTACTAAGGTGGCTATTAAGGTATAACAAGATATATTCTTAACTTTTATTCGAATTTAATCTTTTTTTCAAACAATTTTAAAACACATATTTTTTAATCAATTTGGTGCATTAAAAATTTTATTTTTATTGTAATTTTCTTGACAATCAAACTCTAATTGGCAAGAAAAATATATATTTTTTATAAATTGAACTAACTATTATGGGTTAGAATAATTTATTATTCTTTAGATGTACAAGGTTTACATGGATTTATATAAATTTATAATTTCATAATCAAGATTAAAAATCATAAATTAAATTGCAACAATAAATTTCCAAAATTATCATTTCAAGATAAATAAGTTTATACTTTCATTTTTTTAATATGAAAAATAACTTACATATGTTAATCTAATTAGTAAAGAGAAGATTTTGGTTTTCTTTTAAAAAAGAATTATATTTTTATAAAGAGGACTTCAAAAGTAAAATTTTAAATATATTAAATTGATTTGAAAAATAGTATCTTTTAGATCAATAATAAAAAATTAAGTATGATATCTCATAACTCTAAAATTATATGTATGAAAGATCGATAAAAAAAAATGATATTAAGTTGTAATTTTAAATCTTTTTTGGTCACTCACTTTTATAAAAAAAAATAACAATTTTTATTTATTTTTTTAATTTTCATATCATTTCTTATTATTTGTATTTATATTTTTCTTGATTTACTTATAGAAACTTTGAGTCTTCTCAAATCTTTTAGATTTTTTGAAAAAGTTAAGCCTAATATTTTATATACCAAAGATTAAAAATATTTTATGAATATTACTTTAACCAATCCAACAAGCTCGGTTAACAATTCCCTTTAACAAATTAAAATGTTCATTTCTCCACATTACAAAATTTGTTAAAAATTTAAAATAAAAGTGTTAAGAAAATATATAAAATAATAATTGAATACTATTAACTTTTGTTTCGATAGTAAAAAAAAAGATTTTAAAATTTTAAAATTTTATGTTTAAGTTTCATTACATATGTGCATTTCATCAAATTTTATGTTGATTTGTTTATTAATTTTTTAATAAAAGTAACACATAATATATGAAATTATTTGATTATAATAAAAATTTTTATTTTATAATTATAACCACCAAAAAATTTTGTGAAGAAGAAAAAGAGAGCTCTTGGGTGCCATGGAACTATTAAATTACATATTTTTTTTATTGATTAAAAAAGGGTTTAAGCTTAAGAGGCACTGATTTTGGAGTAAATTAATGATTTTGACAGCGGTTAAACAAAAGGGTAAAAGCCATTGAGATCTGTATCAAAGAGGATTAGGGTGACGTAAGTAAACCAATCATTAAGAAGCTAGGGTTTAATCATCGAAACCAACCATGGCATTGAAATTTGAAACAGAATTTATTATTAGTAGAAAAAGCTGTTGAAAAAGAGTACAATTTTTTCTCCGCCTTTATTGCTTCTTCCCATTTATTTTCTTATATTCTTAAAATGACAGCAATTTTTTTGACAGAAAAATTATAATTTAAAATAAAAAACCATAAGAGATTTTGAAATTTGAATATCGTTTTTTTTTATTATATTAATAAATTTTAAATTCACAATTACTAATTTAACTAATGAAAAAAACATTTTTTAAGGAGCATTTCACATAAAATTATTTATGTTATAATCATACAATAGCAAAAAATTATATAAAAAATCGTTACTTAAAATATAATATTGAAATGTGGTTTGTTAATTACATTCTAATAATTGGAGTGATTTTTTTTATGACCTTCTTAGGGAAACGAAAAGACAGAATCGAAAGAATTCGAGGATAATTGAATATTTTGGACAGCATTATACCCTTTTAAGCCAATGAAAATCATATAATTATTGAAAATCATACATTGTCAACCATTTCAATCAGTATAAGTGATGAAATTGACAAGCACATAGGTGTCCCTTGACCCCCTTTGTAACATTTTCATAAACAGTTGTTCGGACACCAACCTTATGCCAATTATCTGATTAGATACATGGGTTGTTTGTTGGGATGTAACATGATTTGATTGGCACGGACAAAAAACTTTAGCAAATCGAATCACAACTGTTTGATTACATGTTGAATTTCAAAAAAAAAAAAAAATCCTATTTGAAAAAGAATAGATGTCGTAATCTTGAACTGACGAAGAGTACATTTTCTTAGGTCCTAGTCCCTACACATATATGCTTTTGCTTATAGATCTTTGAGGGGGAATTTATTTTTCTTTTTTAAATTTCAGAAAAGAAAATCATTAGATAAGATTTTGGATTATATAATAAGAGATAATACTTTTATATTCCACGTCGACATTTTAGGTTTTAATTATTGGATGTCTCATTAAAAATAATAAATTATTTTAA